TCTACACAACAAACTGAGCCGTGACTAATTCCACCGGTGAATGTCACGACTCATAATCAATGGTCAAAGTGTTTTTGTACAGTAGGCTAGTTTAGTGTTTCGTTTTGTTACTTCCCACGACCCTCAACAAGGCTGTGCCTTGTTCTTATTACTCCGACCGCCAAGTGTCAGAGGTTCCGAGACGTCGTAATAGTAAACTTCACCGAAGATTTTTATCCTTATCAATCCTCTATTTTTGGATAATTATGTGCCATTTAGTTTTTAATTTTTGGCTGTTTGTGTGAACTTTTCTTCGATGGAGTAGTTTAACAGGCCGTCTGTGCCTGATGGGGCCCGTGAGGAGTGCCTTGGACTTGCACATCAGCCTAGGCGGAGAGGGTCTCCTCTATCTTGGCTAACCTCGCTTAATGGCCGCCTCTCCGTCCTGCTTCGTCCCTCCTCCGGTGCTGTCCGCCCAGAACTGAATGTGATCGCCAACTTACCGCAAGTGTTAAACGATCGTTGTTACCCGATAATAACAACTATTTGCATATGGTCACCTAAAGATATATTGCCTGTTATCCCGGTTCAAACAGCCATGGCACCTGAGGGATTAGGAGACTCCAAGGGTTTCCATGGGGTCTCCTAATCCCTCAGGTGCCACAGCTGTTTGAACTGGGTCTTTTACAGTATTTACTGCTTTCCTGTTTTTCGATTAAAAAGTACTCACTATCAAAATGTTATATACTACCACCATTGAATATACTATATGTGAAGAAACTATCTAATTAATCAAAATGAACATTTTTGGAACAGTATTTTATCTAGTAATTTCAACAACTCATCTCAAAACAAAAGGTAAATAATAACAATAAATAATCAGTTCATCTGGTCTTTTAAACATAAATCATATGGTTAATTAATAACACCACATCTCTCTTTGTCACACATCTTCTTTTAATCATATCGTTTTGGTCTTCTTATGATTCTCTGACTTCTTCGATAAGAGTCGTGGTTTAGTTGATCAGGTACACGAGGGGTTGTATTAGGCTGTTCAATATGTACTTTTTCTTCTAATGGCAATAGTGTTAGATGCCATCGATTTCTTCTAAGCCGTCTTCCATTATTTAGTGTTACCCAATATGATCGGGGATAAATATCTGATTTTGATAAGATTTCTCCTTTACATTTCAGGTCTCTAATCCAAACCTTAATGAGTCCAATCCTAGGAATCAGGTTTGTTCAAAGAACAGTGTAAGAGATAAAACCTCAATTGAAGCTTCAAGGGTTACTACTGTTTCAGGTATGCAGACTCAAATTTCTCCACCAGAAGCTTTTGATTTTCAAAATCCTGCCTTATGGCCTCGTTGGATGAAAAGGTTTGAGAGGTACAGGATTGCTTCAGAGCTTTGCTTCAAGCCTGACAGTCAACAAATTAGTATGCTCTTGTATACTCTAGGCGAGAAAGGTGAGGATCTTTTCCGTACTTTTGGTATTTTTGATGAGAATAATCTTCAGTATGAAGAAGTTGTTAAACGTTTCAGTGATTTCTTAAAAGTCAAATGTAACATTGTATATGAACGTGCCAAGTTTCTTAAGAGAAGACAAGGGGCCGATGAAACAGTAGATTCTTTTATAAATGACCTTCATAAATTAGCTGAAACATGTGAATTCGGAAATTTAAAGGAAGAGCTGATATGTGATTTGATTGTAATTGGAGTCAATAATCCAAAACTTTCAGAGACTCTACAAATGGACGATTCACTAACTTTAAGGAAGGCTATCAACAAAGTTCGGCAATCCGAGTCTATTTTGAAACAGCAAAATGTAGTAAGAGATCGAGTAGGCGACATATCAAATTCAATTAGTCAAGATGAGGTAGTAGGAGCCGTTAGCAGTAAAGTAGGCTCTTTCAGAAACAAGTTGAGATGTAACAAATGTAACCTATATCATAAGTACAGGGAGTGCCCAGCATATAAAGTTGAGTGTTTTAGATGTGGTGAGAAGGGACATTTTGCTAAAGCCGCGGTCACACTAGGCTGTTTAGTAGCCGCTTCTAACCAGTCGCTGGTAATATTGCTGAATATTGCCAGCAAGCAGCCTAGTCTGACCCAGAACCAGCGGCCGGTGAATGCCAGCGCGCTAGTGTTTACTAGCCACAATCAGAAGTTGAACATGTTTAACTTTTGAGCGCTGCCTACCCTCCGCTGGCAGTCACGTGATCTCCTCGCTGGCGCCAACCAGCCAATGTGAACCCCTAGTAGCTAACAAGCGGCTGGTTAATTAACACGTGTATAGTTTTTTTGCAGTGTTGGTTTCGTTTACTGTATTTTCTATTTATTTTTGTGATTAACAGTGAATATAGTTGACAGCAACAAGTGGACAGGTAAAGACATAATTACATTCCTGGATATATTTCGAAATTATCCTTGCCTGTGGGACCCTTGGACTGCAGACTACATCAACAGAAATGCCAAAGCTCAGCTTACAAGGAGTTACTGGAAAAACTTGAAGAACAAGGACTTAAAGCAGCATTGGCCCCATTGAAGAAAAAAATAAAAAGTTAACGCGATACGTATCGAAATTTTATAAAAAAAGCCAAAGAAGAGTGGTGTCAAATAGATTATATGGTGAAAACACATACACAACATAATGCTTTCAAGTCATAAGCAGCAACTGTACTAGCGGCTAGTAGGTTTATAATGTGAATCCTGGTTAATTAATAACACCACACTATACAACACTACTAAAGTATATTCAATATTGTATATAACACTATATTGGATATAAAACACTAAATAGTGTTATATATTCAATGCTAATTCGTAATGATTGTCATTCGAAAGTCTTTGGAAAATTACAAGAAAACATATGATTTGGTAAAATAAATCACGTTTTACTCGCACTGACGTCACTATGCACACACCTTCTTTCATACGCCTTGTATCTTGATTATTGTTTTGCATATTTACTCATTTCTCATTAGCTCTGTACGGCGACGACACTGCTATCCTGTGCCAACATTCCGACATCCACGAGGCCACGTATTCCCTGCAATACTCTGTGGATCTTCTCATTGATTGGTTCTACAAGTGGAAATTTTGCCTAAATTCAACTAAATGTGAGACCAAAATATTTTCATTGAAAAAACATGCATTGCCACATGAAATTCAAATATATGGTAACTTTCTACCTTGGAACCCTGATGACCAGGCCATAAAATATCTTGGAGTATGGCTGGACAAAAAACTTAATTGGAACTACCACGTTAATCAAAAACTGTCCCAAGGTTATGCACGCCTTGCAAAGCTTTTCCCTTTAATCAATAGGAAATCTACTCTGAAGCCAGCTTGTACAGTTCTAATCCATAAATTAATAATTCGGCCCTTGATTACATATGCATCTCCTATCTGGGGATTAGCTATATCAAAAAACAAACTCTTCAAAATTCAAGTGATTCAAAACAAAATTCTAAGAATAGCGGTGAATGCTCCCTGGTTTGTTAGAAACAGGCATATACATGAAGAACTAGGAGTGGAGTCTATCTCGGCCTTTATTGAAAAAACCACCTCAAAATTTCTAAAATCTTTAAACAATGTTCCTGGTGCATTAACTTTTCATCTTGGTGAAACAACTGAGAACAGGAGGCTATGTCGAAGGCTCCCTCAAGATCTATTGGATGAATGAAGCCTAAAGAAGATCAAATTATTTCCCTAAATTAATAATGTTACAGGGTGACTCAGGTTTGGGCGAACCCACGATGTTATTATAGTTAATTTCTTATTAATTTTGTTAACACTTCTGTGTATAATGTCTACATTGAACCAGAAATAAATGATGCTATATAAAAAAAAAAACTCATTTGTTTTTGAGAATAACAAACAAGGTTGTGTTGCCATGGAAACCAGATTATCACCCAAAAGCAGCTGCGATAAGGTAAAACAAACATTTTTTCTATGTTATTACAGTAGAGTCCCGCAAACTCGGCACTCGATAACCCAGCAGTCTGGATAACTCGGCCATCATCTGGCTCAGAAAATTAGTGATTTTTTGAGTCCGAGTTAAACATGGACTCAAGCCAGCTCAAGTCAAATCATTCTCAGCTCGTACAAATGATTTGTTTTACTATATCTGATGACTTAATACTGACTTGTAATATAAATATAAATAAAAGAGGTAGTTAATTAGCTTACCAATTGTATTGTTCTTATTTTTAACCCTAGTTCTCGATAACCCGGCATTTCACAAACTCGGCACCCTTCCAGTCCACATTACGCCGAGTTTGCGGGACTCTACTGTACATAGAAAAGTAAATAGCTTGTGGTTTTTCTATGTAGGGAGTCAATTGAAATTTATAACAGTAGTGTCATTTGGTGTCTGGATTGATCTTGGAATTTGTAAATCAAGTTTACTTTTAAAAAATTGTTTTTAAAATTTTTAACTTTATAATCTTTATAATTTTATCTTTTTATTTTACACTTTGACTATCCAATTACCACTTTTTATGTAGACAATTTTAATGTGAACAAAATGGCAAAAGAATTATTAATTTATTACCTAAGGTTTTACTTTCTATAACAATTAGAGTAAAAGTCTACAAATTCGGTAAAATTAATTGCCGACAGAGGGCACTGCAGGCAGTGCATTAATTCCTTCCCCAATGGGTCAAGAGATTTTTTACAGACTACTGAGCTTTTATTTTGAATTATTGAAAGTTTCTATTTATCGAGTGATTGAATTACCAAGAGTAGACTGCATCAGCAATCTGACACATACTTTCTCCCATTAGCTTGTCAACTTAACAACTCTTATCATGGTAGTGCTCTTGGGTTGGGAGTGACTATGATAAAAGTATTTTATAAGAAAAAAAAATCAAGTTGCAATAACTTCTGAATTGTAATTTTTACAGCATAAGTAGTTGTGTTTTGTTTAGAGTTAAAACCTATAACATAATAAAACTTCAATCTAAATTATTTGAGTTTTTTATGTGTAAATCAGTTTGGAGCAGATCTCTACTGTACCTGGCCACACCTCCTCCTGAATGCGGGTGAGGGGAGGCGAAGGACTGGAGTGAAGTAGAGGTTGAGTCAGTCTGAGGTCCAGAGCACCTGAGTTGCCATTGTTGGGACTGTACGCTGTGCCTTGGATTATTGAGCCTGCACAACAAACAAGTAATCGATCCTAATGAATGAATAAGTAGATCTAATACAACAAGTAAGGTGTTAAATTGTGGTATTCTTACAGTAGGCTATATGGTTTAGACATTTAACATGTAGGAACTATTGCTTCATTTAATAAAATATTAGTATTTATTTATTTGATATCGAGATTTTTTAAATTCATGAAACGGTGTATACCTTGAGCAGTGGCAGGCGAGGGTGCAGTATACACATCAGGCTGGTGTAGTTGTAGCCTCTGTAGATGTTGTGTGAGGGTGGTGCTGCCATTCGATTCCATGAACCTGCTTGGACTACCTTGGCCCGAGTAGTGGATTGGCGATCCTATTAATCAAGAGCCTTTCTTACTTCATACAAAAGTAGTAAAAAGATTAATCTGGATTATTCCTTTAATTTAAATACCATTGAAAATACATGGGAATTAGCATCTGTCAGTTAGCAATATTGAGATACCATTACCGAGCCATACTGAAATGTACTGTACCGTATACTGTACAACCAGGGATAACGTTACTTATAATTGAGACTTTTTTGTTCTCTTAGAATGTTGAAATCAATTTTACTGTGCATTTGGCGAATTTGTGTATTTTTATGAAAATTAGTTAAGCGTATGATAAGAAGTAGAATCATGGGAGATGGCTCAAATCAAAGGAATTGAAGTGAGAATGGTTGAAAAAATAATGAAGTTTGAAGTTACAACCATTTTAACAGAAATTTTGATAAAAGTAAAATAATTTGTATAATTATCCCGATAATAACACTTCTGCTTTGTTTTTAGCGAATTTTCCATATAGGGAATAAGCCTTCCCATATAGGGAAGGTTTGGTGCTTGCTTGGAATTGAACCATGTGATTTTGTGCTCCTCAGTATTTTACAGTTTTTAGTGGTAAAATTAAAGGTTTAATGCTTTTGTCCTATGTGAAAGTGTGCCTCTGAAATTTGTCTTTTGTATAAGTAAGTAGATATTTCAATAAAACAATTTAATGAAAAGATATTCACATTTAAAGCAAAAGAAAGTATTTTACTTTTCATGAATATTTCTTGGAAGAAGGATTGAGCACAGATAAGAAGCCCGTTCGGATCAAGGTGCAGCAACTGACCTTTGACCAGGAGAGATAACGCCACTCACCAGCTAGGCTGAGGCACCTGTTGGCCTTTAATGTTTACAAACATTCTTATCTGGACTACTACTTGTCTCTAATTTTATTAATAGGTCAAGAAACCATTAATATTTGAGCTGAAAACAATATAATTACTTGATTATTTGGGAATAAATATACTTTATTTTAATGAAAATTATAATATTTTAAATTTGTATTTTACCCTCTCTAGATATAATTTTAACTAATAAATAAAATGGTTACAATTACAAACAATCATAGTATCCCCAAGGGATGGGTTAGGGAGGAACATACAAGAAAAAGTGGGCTAAGTAAAGGAAAAATTGATATTTATATTAAATCACCCAACGGAAAGCTCTTTAGGTCTAGGAATGATCTCACTAAATATATTCAAGAAAAAGGATTGAACCTCAAAGTGGAGGATTTTTATTTTTCTACAGCTAAAGGGTGTAATAGGAAAATAGACACTTTCATACCCGGATTCTCAAAAAGGAGTTAGATGAGTTAAAAAACGAAAATAAAAACCTTCAGCTAACAATAGAACTTATCAAAAATGACAATCAATCTTTACTAGAAGAGCTAAGTGAACTAAAACAAGCTAAACAAAACTGTATCCATTGCTTTCCACCACTAAAGCCTTCATCAACAATAAATCACCCGGCTTGGCATACTGTAACAACACCCAGCTATTCTCAGGTTAGAACTAACACTGACAATGTTGTGTGTCATAACAGGTATGAAGTTCTCTCACAGGATAGTTTAATTATATCACCGAAAACCTCTGATTCAAATTCACCTACACTAAACATGAATAGCAAAATCAATAGTAACCAGAAATCCAACACAAGAAATATTGCTGTAAATCAAGAAAAAAACACTTCTGTATTACGCAGAAAACTTGTAATATTGTCAGACAGCCACGGTAAAAACTTAAGTTCTCTAATTGAAGAAAGAAGCCCTTTAAATGTGTGTTCATTTGTCAGATCAGGAGCAAAGTTTGACCAGGTAATACAAGAAGTCAAGGATTTGAGCAAAGATTTGAGTAAAAAAGATCACCTCCTAGTTATTGCGGGCACAAACAATGTTGAAACTACAAGTAATAAACGACTCATGGATGATATTCATAGGCTTATCAGTCATACCGACCACACAAACCTCATTTTAGCCACAATTCCAATGCGTCACGACAAACCCAACCTGGACCTTAAGATTAGTAAAGCCAATGCCGATATTGAGAAACTTGCGATTGATCAAGAAAAATTAAAACTACTACCTTTACATGTACTGCCCCGTCATTACTATACCAATCACGGTCTGCACTTCAATAAAAAAGGAAAAATAAACATTGCTAAAACAATATCTCTACTTACACAAAACGACAATGAAAAGAAATCCATGAAGTCTATTTTAACAAAGAAGTCAGGTAAAAATTCTATAAATGTGATAGATGCAGATATGAGTCATGCTATAGACGAGCTGAGGGAAGATCGCACACTAGCTTTTGGCCACTCAATATCGGCAGATTTCAACGATCCCAAGCATATGTCTGCGGGTGTAGCAGTGGTGTTTAGACACAAATTTGGCAGACCACAAATGACAGACTTTGTTGGCAACAATTTAACTTGTCAAACACCGTTGAATGGAGCTGCAGTCTACAGTCTTGTGACTAAGCCAGCCTACTGGGGGAAGCCAACACCAGATGATTATGACAAGGCGTTTGAAGAACTCACAAATGATTTCAAAACAAAGAACCTGAAGACCTTGATATGCTCACCTATGGGGTGTATTAGGGATCTAATCCAGCCAGATCATTTTGCCAAAAACATATTGAAATTTCAAAACTCAACAAAAGCTACCATATACATATTATTAAATGAAGAAAAATCAAACAGAGTGCTAAGAAGGGGACTTTCACACACTGAGCTTTTGAGGCGTCTTGATGAATTGTTCACGGAGCATAATTATAATGCAAGGCTTCATCAAGCATCACAAGAACACAATCTAGAAGAATCTACAGCCACTGACATTGCCACAAGTGTAGCTCTTTCCGACATCTGCTCTCCTACTCCATCAGTAACATATCCACAACAAAAAAACATTACAATAGGTCCAACAATAGATTTAACTTAGCAATAGAAATTAAGGAGTCGTGTATATGTAACACCTCAAGAAATCATAATTCTAACACAGATACTTCCAGTCATAACCAAATCGACCCCTGGCCTGTTTGTAAAAATTATAAGTGTAACAAAAATTTTGTGTGGCTAATGCATTTAAACATTGAAGGAGGGATAATTAATAAAAAAAATGAACTGGAATTAATTTTAGAAAATTCAAACATTTCAATTATTTGTTTAAATGAACATTGGCTTGGAAATGATAATATTGGCATTCTAAATAGTTTTACAAACTACACGCTGGCTCATTTTTATTGTAGGGAAGAGGGGACCCATGGGGGTTCTTGCATAATGATAAGTTCAAATTTGAAATACAGGATAAGGAATGATTTGTGCGTTTTTAATGAAGAATCGGTCTTTGAAGTTTCTTGTATTGAAATTGAAAGTTTAAATATTATTGTAGTTTCTGTTTATAGAACACCAAATGTTGCAAATTTTAAAATTTTTCTTTACAAATTAGAGAGTTTATTGCAAATTTTATCAAAAGCTACAAAAACAAATGATATCTATATTACAGGAGATTTCAATGTAGATATTTTACAAGACTGTAGCCAAACTAGACAAAAATCAGACTTTATTTCTTTGTTAAAACAGTATGGATTTAAATGCAATTTTTACGAACCTACCAGAATTACAAATTCATCTAAGTCATGTATCGATAACATCTTGACATCTGAAATAAAATCTCAATCGCCAGTTACAATGAATTTAGAGTTGGGTCTCTCGGACCATAGGGCCTTATTTATGAATATTTCAAGTAAGATGGATAAGTCATATAAAAAAAGTAGGAATAAAAAATGTAAGAAAAGAATATTTTCAAAAAGAAATATTGATATATTTTTAAATAGTATACAAGCTACCAAGTGGGAAGTATCTGTTAACAACTGTTTTGAAATTAACTGTTCAAATTTTTTTCAAAATTTCCAGAACAAGTTTGAGGAAGCATTTCCTCTCAAGTTTTATAGTCACACAAACTTAAACAAAAAGAAACTTTGGATTACTAAAGGTATTAAAATATCTAGTATAAGAAAAAGAGAACTTAGCAGACTGGCTAAAGAGTCAAATAATATTGACTTCATTAACTATGTTAAAGAGTACAGAAAGATTTTTAGGCAAGTGTGTAATAAATCAAAGAAATCATGTAATGCTAAATTTATTGAAGACTCAGAAAATAAAAGTAAGGCTGCTTGGGCTATTATCAAAACTGAATTAGGTTTGGGAAAGAGTCAGACTACCTTTCCCAATATCAAGGTGGCGGACAAATCCATGACAAATTCAAAGGAAATTGCAGAATATTTTAATAACAAATTTATAAATATAACAAATCAAATTGGATTTTCCTCTTCTGAAAGTGAGGCAGTACAACTTACAATAAAATCAATAGATCAAAAGCAGACCACAAAATTTGACTTTCAATTTATAGACGTGAAGGATGTTATTAAAATTATTAAATCTTTCAAGAACAAGAAGTCGTCAGGCTGGGATGAAATACCACTAAATTTGGTCAAAATTGCTTCTAAATTCATTGCAGAACCACTCTCTATCATTATAAACCAATCATTCCTCAACAGTATTTTTCCTGAACACTTAAAATATGCTGAACTAAAACCGCTTTTCAAAAATGGAGAGAGGCAAAATCCAGACAATTATCGTCCAGTTTCACTTTTACCAGCATTCTCAAAAGTTTTTGAAAAATGTGCTTCTTATCAAATATCTTCATTTCTGGAAACCCACAATATTTTTTCTAACAAGCAGTTTGGGTTTAGAAAGGGTTTAGGTACCATGAGAGCGCTCTCAGACTTGGTTGAGGAGGTGTCATGGGCCTTGGATGGGTCACATAGCACAATGGGTGTGTTTTGTGACTTATCCAAGGCGTTTGACTGTGTCAATCATGATATACTCATTAAAAAACTAGAATTATATCCCTTTTCTGTAAATTCAGTATCATGGTTAAAATCATACCTAAATAATCGCCATCAGAGAACAGTAATTTGTAAGGATAATTTAAAAGCAAAATCAAAATGGC